GGTGATTGTAAAAAATGCACTCCTTAAATACAGTAATGTGAGATCCTATTTGAGTAATGGCATCATAACTGTGTATTATGTAAAATCTTGTGATAATCTTGCGGATCCGTTAACTAAGGCTTTGGCGAGAGATAGGGTCTGAAATACATCAAGGGGGATGGGTTTGAAACCTATAAAATCATAAACCATGTATGAGAATACCCAACCTAGGGATTAGAGATCCTGTAACTAGGTTCAATGGGAAGAACGAATCATATGGTGATTGTAAAAAATGCACTCCTTAATATTTTGCTGTCCATCCCTATGATGTAAATGCATTTGTCCTGTAATGTTGGAGGGTTGAGTTTTATACTCTTAATGAAATTCTATAGCTCTTCTTGAGTGGGGTGTGTAAATTACAGGAACATCCTTGATAGATTTCACCTATGTGAGCATGAAAGTGGGGCCGCTTTCTATGAGAACAAGGCTTATTTTCAAATATGCTCATGAAAACTGGGATAAGCACAAGGCCGTAATGTGCTGGCTATTAAAGCTCATGTCAGCACCTGGATTATTATGTGTGAAAGTAATACTTTTTTTCCCCTAAGAAGTCATAGTTCAAGTCTGAGACCACTACTGACTCTGGAGTAGAGGTTGCTGTTTCACAAATGAAGGTCCAATGCAGAGCACACCTTCATGATGCATACTAGTCTATCTTTGTTTGGTAATCTCTCTTGTCCTTATTGATATTAAAATGAGTGGGGGATTGTTGGACTATTTTAATATCTTTTATTTATTTATATATTTTTGTTCATGAATCTTCTTTTGTTTTATTCATGAATCTCATCTTGGTTATGAATGGAGATTAATTAGAATTCATGAACTTTGTGGTGAGTTATTATTTGGAGTATCTCCATTTTCTCTAGTTTAGTTGTCATCATTATTTTTGGTGTAATTTGTAAGGTCCTAATGACCTATAAATAGTTTCTCTTATCTACTCTTTTTCTTCACTAACACACCAACTATTTTCTATACAAGAGAGATTACTAGCAAAGAAGCGTGTTTTTCTTAGTGGAGCTTTGGGTTCACCATCTTGTGCAGAGTTGGCTTGAACCATATGACAAGTGGTCGGGCTATTGTATCCTAGAGGGAACAAATTATAGTTTTGTGACTGCTGCATCGGTATTTGGATTCTTCCTACCGCAGTGGGCTTGATCACCTTAAAGAAAATGAGATATCTGTACCTTAGCCTGATCTATTTGTATCTCATTTGCTTTGCATTATTTATCAATAAAATATAATTTTTTCTGATATTTTCACCAACAAGTACAATGACCCAATATTGGTTTTACTTATATTATATAATATATAATTTGTTTTCTCTGTTGTATGAGCACCAAGAGAATTTTAAACGATTGATTAATATTTATGTTGTTAAATAAATATATATGATTTATCTTTCTTTTCATACTGTTTTGCAGTTGGAATATCTCCGACTTATTGTACCTTTGTTTGGTGCTAGCATTTGATTTGCGTGCTCTCTTGTGCTAACTTAGTTTAGATGAATTCATTTTCTAATTATGCTATTTGCACCTCCCGTTTTTTTGTTGGTTCGGTACACATTTTGAATTGTAACTTTTGGTGATTATCAATAAAGTTCTGTTTTGTTGATTTAAGAAATTTAAAAAAGAAAGAAAGAAGGGTAAATGTAGAGCGCCAATGGAATTGCCGTTGAAGTTGTTAAATTTTAGCATTATTATCAATAGTTAAATGTATTTTACAAAAATCCTTTATTTTTTTGTTGACAAAAGAAATTTTACAAAAATATATGGGTGTTTCGAAATGTAAGATAATCGTAGTGTCAAAAAATGACACAAACATTGAAAAAAGTTACCAAAGTTTGATATTTTATACTGTAATATAGTCAAAATTTGGCAATGACTAGTCAAATTTTTTTGTTGGCCTCTGGCCAACCTGTTCTTTCTTTTTCTTGTAGTGTTTTTTATTTTTGGTTGTAATTATATAAATAGTTTGTAAGATAATTACCTTACGTGTAAAACCAAACTCAGCCCAATTGGTTGGAATTGAGCTAAAAGGGAACACAGTAAATATTTCCAAGTTCACAGGTGCAGTCCAAACTTAAATAAAATTATTCATTTTTTAAAATTTTAATTTTTAATAGAGTAGGTGATGGTAATTTATTGCAAGAAAAATGCTTGGGAGCACTAATTAGTGCTCCCACTAATTAGGTGGCAGTGGGTCCCGCCATTAATGATGTGATGTTTTGGTCTTGGAGTTATATTTTTTTTATATTTTTTTTACTTTTTTAATGTATTAGTGCTATTAGTGGTGATGTTTTTAGTGGGATGAATCATTGTTGTTATTGCAATAATAGAGCAAGCAATCAATCTTTCGGACGTCACTCCAACTTATGTTTTTAGATTAGATGTTTAATAATTCATTAACATTTGACTAATGGAGGGAGAATTTGTTAAGTGAACATATTTCCTAAATTTGTTTACTAAAAAAATGACTTCAGGATAAAAATGTTCTTTTCTAAAAATGATTTTTACATAAGGTTATTTTTGGCAAATTTCACAGGTTACTTGAGTGACCTTGGATCAACATTAAAGTTTTGTTTGTTTCAACATAAAATATTTTGTATAAAAAAAATATTTTTATTTTTATTTTTATTTTTTTTACGTTTGGTTGACACTTGAAAGAAAAATATTTTATTACTTAAAAGACACTGCAAGAAAAGTGGGCTTAAAAGACGGAAGCATTTGCGACGGCATACTTGCCGTCTAAAAAAAGTGACTTTTTACGATAGCACAACTTATTGTCGTGAAAAATGTGAGTTTTTGCGACGACACAATTTGTTATCGTGAAAAAGATAAGTTTTTGCGACGGCAGAAATTGCTGTCGCAAAAAATGAGAGTATTTGCGATGGCAGAGATTGCTGTCGCGAAAAAGTAAGATTTTTGCGACGACACCAGCAGCAGTCGCAAAAAAAAAAGTGAGTTTTTTGTTACTGTAATAGGTACCGTTGCAAAAAAAAAAAAGTACAAAAAAAAATATTGTGGCTTTGAGACGACTTCATATATATACAGTTAGAAAATGGTTTGAATAAATGCAACGGTATTTTTCTATCGCAAAAAAAAATTAAAAAAAAACGACGTCATCTTACTTTTTTGAAATAACATTTCTCTTTTCACCAATTTTTAATTTCAGTTTTCTGTCTCTGTCTCTATCTCTCTCTCTCTCTCTCACTCATCACTCTTCTCTCTTCGTTTTTCTGTTTGTCTCTCTCTCTCTCTCTCTCTCTCTCATCTCTTTCATCTTTTTTCTCTCTATCTCTTATCTCTCTCTTTTCCTATGTCTCTCTCTTGTTCATCTCTTTTCGCTCTCTTTCTCTCTCTTTGTCTATCTCTCGCTCATCTCTTGTTTCTCTCTCTTTTTATGTCTTCCACTCTCTTTCTCTCTCTCTCTCTATCTCTTTCTATCTCTATCTTTTTCTCTCTCTGTCTCTCTGTCTCTCTCTCACTTATCACTCTTTTCTCTCTCTGTCTGCTTGTCTGTTGGTCTGTCTATCTGTCTGTCTGTCTGTCTATCTCTCTCTCTCTCTCTCCTACTTTGTTCGCCTTGTTCACTCTCTCCCTCCATTCTTCTCTATTTACCGAGCTTTCTCTCGATTTATCGATCCACTACAAGAAAATACACTTTTAGCGACCACTTTGTCTCTCTCTCGCTCATCACTCTGTCTTTGTCTCTGTTTCTCTCTCTCTATCTCTCTTCTCTATCTGTCTCTCTCTCTCTCTCTCACCACACATCTTCTCTACCACTCTCATCACTACTGCAAATGCCATTCCACTACCACCACTACTACCACTATTGTCATTCCACCTCTATGACTACTATTACTACTACCATCGCCGCCACCACTACTATCATTACCCCTTCTCCACCACCGCCACTCCATCTCTTCTACCACTACCACAACTTCACCACTAATCTCTTTCGCCATCACCACCACCACCACCACCACTCTCACCTTTTATCCACCACCTTCACCACTGCTGTCACTCCTTCTCATCTACCACAAAAAATTAGTTCCTGATTTTTAGTAACCAAAAAAATGGGTTGTAGAAAAATATTTTTCATTGACTCAAAAAATTAACCTTATTTTAACAGAAAATATTTTTCATTAAAATATTATCCCTACTGCTACCAAATAAAAAATAATAATATATTTTTTTCATGAAAATAAAAATGAAACAAATAAATTTTCAACCTTAGTAACTAAAAAACAAATTTCATTACCTACAAGAAAATAAATTTATTTTAACAAAAAATAAATAAAACGACGTGATTCACCCCGCCTATCCTAACTCTCCTCTTCTTTTCTTCTTTTTCTTTTCGTTTTCCCACTCTTTCTATTAGAATTCCCCCATTTCTTCTCCCCCTTTTGTTTCTCACGATCTCAAATCCCCAATCCCCAATCCCTTAAACAAAAAATCCCTAATTTCAAAAATCCCCAAAATACTCTCTCTCTCTCAGGACCGCAAGTAGCGGCAGTGGCAGCAGTAGCAATGGGGGATGACGGCAAGCAGCGAGTGATGACGGTGAGTAGCAAGTGACGACGGCTAGCAGCGGCGGTGCGGCGTCTCAAATCTCTGAAAAACTAGGGATTGGATATGGTGATATTTTCCAATCTCTATTTTCTCTTTCTACATGATGCATTTGGTTGTTTATTCAAAAGAATTCCCTTGTGAGAGTTCCTTCTATAAATTTCAAGAATGCATAATTGTAATATTTTTTGTTCTGTTTCAGTAAATGTGTATGCTCCCAAAGATAGAGTCATCAATCTTCATCAAGGATATGGCTTTGTAGAATTTCGAAGTGAAGAGGATGTTGATTATGTAAGTTGTACTTCATTGTTTGTGGCATCATTAGCAGTGCTCTCTATAGCTTCTTAAATGATGCTAAGATCACGGTTCATCTCTTGAGTTTTGCTTTCTCCTTCCTTCTATGTTTTTTTTTATTTTTATTTTATTTATGATCCTTTCTTTCTTTTGATGATGCAGGCAATAAAAGTTCTGAATATGATTAAACTTTATGGGAAGCCAATAAGGATGAATAAGGTGAGGATCCTTATTCTCATTATATATCATTTGCTGTTTCTTTATGCTTACCTTTGGAATATCAACTCAAGGACCATCACTAGAAGTTTTATTGGTTCAATTTTTGCAGTGTCTGCACGAGTTCGATGCAAAATCTGATGAGTAATTTTCATTCTTGTTGCTTTTTATTCCAGGCATCCCAAGATAAAAAGAGCTTGGATGTTGGAGCTAACCTTTTTGTTGGAAACCTTGATCCTGTAAGAAATAAGATCTTGAACTTGCTTCCCTGCATCACAATCCCAAAAACCCCCCCCCCCCCCAAAAAAAAAAAAAAAAAGAAAAAGAAAAAAGAACTACACATGGTTCTTCTTTGTAAATATTTTCTTTCTAGAATATTCACGCACACATTCATTGCTGCCATATGCCTATGCCATAGTTTCAACTTTGAAATTGACTTGATATTCTTTGCAGGTTGTGGATGAGAAACTTTTGTATGATACTTTCAGTGCATTTGGAGTCATTGTTACAAACCCCAGGGTCATACCTTCTTTACCTTCTGTTTCATATTGTTTTGCTGGGTTTTTTTTGGGTGGGTACACATTAAACTGAGAAGTACTTGCAACACTCTTCATTCTCTTTATTATTGTTGCAGCATGTTTTTGTTTGTGCATATTATTGTCCTTTTTTATTTGTTTGTTTATGAAATTCTTTAGTGTTGTAGATTTGTTTTTTTTTTTTCATTTATGTTTTCTCGATGTAGGACTTGTGTGTGGATTGGACAATGAAGATAAGAGGAGGAAAAGGCCTAAAGAATCACATTCAAAATTGTTGGCACACATCTAAATGTCTGTAAACATCAAAGAATAACATGTTTCAAAATATTCACTCAAACTGGTCAAAAAGACGACTGAAGGGCTTTCACATCATGTATTTGAAATGAATATTCACATTAATTTAAATTGAATTTTTATCATTATGTTGTTAATTACATGATGTAAATATTTATCCTAAAACATACGAATGTAAACGTTCACATCACTATGTTAGATGAGAGAGAATGTTCATATGTTGTGAATGTTCACATCACTACATGTTGTGAATGAGAATGTGTTGTCAATTAAAAATAAGAAGGTTCACATATTGTGGAGGTTCACATCATTACATTAGACAAGAGATAATTTTTCAAAAAGGTGTTGTGAACGTTCACATCAGATGAGAGATAATCTTCGCATTATCTTTAATGTGTTGTCAATTAAAAATATATTCACATCATATGAGAAAGAATGTTCATATTATTTTTAATGTGTTGTCAATTAAAAACATATTCACATTATATAATACTATAAAATAATAACATCAAATATTATCTAATTTGTGTATGAAATTTCCTATGCCTTGATCCTTTCCCTTCTCTCTCCTCTCCCAACATTGAATATCAACATTATATATCAATATTAAATATAAGAATATAAGAGTCTAAGAAAATAATGTAAATCAAGAAAAAAGACTTTACGGAATAAACGTATAAATACATGGGACTAAGTGGGTTAAAAAATTTCTTCATGGACTTCTTAGGTTAGAACCCTTCTAAATGGGATTTATCAATAAAAAGCCCTTAAAAGTATGTTATAAATATGAATGAGTAGTAAATATTGACTAATAGGGCTGCTAGGAGGGGGGCAGAGTTGGTCTAGAACTGATCTCTGGCTTTATTTGTGTGATGAGGTTGCATGCAAACTTGCTTTATAGTAGAGAGCTCAAGCTTTTAACATTTCATAAAGCAGTCTATTTGGAAATTGTTCTTTTTAATTAAAAACTATTTGAAAATGGTTCTTTTTAATTACAAACTCTAATATAGTTGTTGTGTAGGCCATAAAGTTTGTTATTTTATTTCTCTAATTCTCTGGAATTCTATCTCTCAATTACTATTTATCTCTTTATTGATCAGCCTCAGCCACCTAATCTCTTTGAAATGCCACTTTCTCGGAAATAGGTTGGCCATGCTTTTATCAATCGTCTCATGTTCTAATTAATGCTTGCATAACTAACATATTGATACAATTATCCTTCTGAAGCAAGTCTCTGTCTATTCCATTTCATTTCTGTGCTTTCACCTATTGACTCTTGTGGGTGTAACGCCCCAACGTTTCACATGTCATCGATATTGTCTGCTTTGGGTCATGCCTGACCGGATTTGTTCTTCCCAATAGGTCACCCATTCTAGAACTACTCCAGCCTAAGCACGCTTAACTAAGGAGTTCTGTTAGAGATTTCACCACTTGAGAAAAGGCCTCAATGCTATATAAGGGTCCAGATTTTTACTTTTGTAGCTCAGGAACTCCACCTCCATTTTTGATGTGGAACACCGGGATCTTACAATCCACCTCCCTTAGGGCTGCACATCCTCGTGCAGTAGCTTACCAGTTCACAAGCTCGCCCACAGGCACCGAGAGACACCAGGGGCCCACACGCGGTACTCTAGAGAGTCGGCTCTGATACCATTTATGACGCCCCAACCCTTCACATGTCATCGATATTGTCCACTTTGAGCCATACCCGCACGGATTTGTTCTTCCCTGTGGGTCACTTATCCTAGAGCCACTCCAGCCTAAGCACGCTTAACTGGGGAGTTCTGTTAGGGATTTTACCACCTAGGAAAAGGCCTCGATGTTATATAAGGGTCCAGGTTTTTACTTTTATAGCCCAGGAACTCCCCCTCCATTCCCGATGTGGGACACCGAGACTTGAGAGAGAAATTAATTAAGAAAGAGAGCCGAAAAAGAGAGAAACAGTTGGGAAAGAGAAAAAAGAGAAGAGAGAAAAGAAAAAAAAAGTTAGGGTTTTGTTTTGGTGGCTCCATTAGCTTTTTAAATATTTCTTTGATCTTCAAAAAATATTGTGAGTACAAAACTTACTTCCCTTAATTTATGTTTAATTTGTTGTTTTTATTTATTTATTTTTATTTATTTGATGTTAGTTTGATTTTGTATTTACATGAAGACGATAGATTGATTTTAATTATTTTGATTAGTTATGTATATTAGATTTAGGATTTTTATATGTATTTATTTTTATGGTTGTAATCACACTCATGGTTATATGAAATTAAAATAAACTTAGAACCCATACATAAATTCCTTATACTCCACCATGACTCTATGGATTGTTGTTTTATTTGAGTGTTGGTGAGAAAGATTGTATAAAAAAAAAGGTGATGATTATAAGATTTAGTTTATGATGTGGCCCGATATGGGCCATAGAATAAGTGCATATCATATGCCCTTTTATAAGGTGCACATTGTAGACTTTTCCTTTATTTTTATGGTTGTAATCACACTCATGGTTATATGAAATTAAAATAAACTTAGAACCCATACATAAATTCCTTATACTCCACCATGACTCTATGGATTGTTGTTTTATTTGAGTGTTGGTGAGAAAGAGTGTATAAAAAAAAAAAGAGAATTATGAGATTTATTTAAATGCCTTAGGCTTAGCATTGTTATGTTTGTTCTCATGAGTAGATGAGAGATTGTGTATATATATATATTGTTGTCTCGTTCTTATGAGTAAACGAGTGTTTTAATTTACGCGCGTACGTATATGCTAACCATCCGGGGAGTGTGGGTCAAACTCGGGATAATATCCCCGTGCAAGTTTGGCTTCAGAGCGGTGTTAGATATACATGAGGCACATGGAATATATGTGTAGGCCGAAAGTGAAGGACCGAAGTGGTAGAGTTAAGGTACAAAGAATTAAATATTAGTTTATTGTTATAGTGTGAATTGTATTGATTTGTACGTATTGAAAAAATAGTAAACGACCTCGATAAATTATGAAATTTGAGTAGAGACATGTATATGTGATTTTAGACAACTTTTGTGTTTCAACTTTTTATTAAAAAGATCGATTAGAACTTATAATCGGATGGCCTTGGTTATAGTAGTTTTGATTCATTTTAGCAATGCAAATTTAGAGGCTGTTTTAACCCATGAAACGAGCTCATTTTTATTTAGTTTCAGGTAAACTGAAGTAAAACATTAGTCTGAACACTTTTATGTTTTGAACTTTTTCGAAAAAATTTATCTTACAGCAGTTTCTTTTCGTTTTCAGTTCCAGATTTTTCGATCAAATTTTGTTTAGGATTTTCTATTAAGTTTTTCTCTCAAGCTGTTCAGTTTCTACTAAATTTGTCCGCGTTGCCTTTTAGGAAATTGGATTCTGTACAACTTTTGTTATTTGAGTTTTGGTTAATTCGAATTATTTAAGCATAAAACGATATATTTGTATACTTTTTCAGCAAGTTACTTATGATTAAATTATACTAACTTTATTTTTTTTACAGAATGGAAGGTCTTACTAATTTTTTTATACAGGGTTGACCTACCATATTTTTATTTTTATTTTTATTTTATACTCAATTTATATTTCGTTGTATACGGGCAAGAAACTAAATGTCACGGTATCTTGAGAAAGTACCCATTCGTCTCAGTACGGATGGAACTACTTGTCTTGTCCCGTAACAAGAATTAAATGTATTTTTGTTTGTGTCTGGTGGACATGCGGATGTCAAATATTTGTACTCATACCAGTATACTTGTATACTAACTCATTTTGTCTCTTGGTATCTCGGGTGCATTCTATTTAAGCGCAGCCAAGCTTCCTTTGCAGGATTAGTTGGGACTGCGATGGTGAAGAGAAATAACTGTAGTTGTTGGACATGTCGTTTGGACTTCTTTTGTTTTCTTGAACTTAGGGTTGGTATTAGTTTATGTATTTATTTATTTTTTATGATTTTAGTATTTGGATAATTTGGCATGATTTGTAACCTTACATTATTTAAGTTATTTTGACTATTTATTATTACTTTAATGTTGAAAGTATTGGCTAGTTATGAAATTATGGTGGATACTTCAGTTGGCGTTTTTTGTTTTTATTTTTTATTATCCCTTGTAATCTTTTGAGGATGGAAATTTACTTAAACCCTTTGGAGACATGAACGTTTAGATTTTGTCCTAGGATTTGGATGATGGAATATTGATTGGAGTTTAGTCCTAATTTAATATTTAATTGTCCAAATTTTGGGGCGTGACAGTGGGTGAAACATATTTTTAAAGTGCTCAGAATTTATGAATTTCTTGTGTTTTTTGAAAAATCACTATGGTGGATCACTGAATTGGTTGGAATTTTTGTAAGGTAATTGACCACAATTCTTATATTTTCGTATATATTGTTTGTATGTATTTTTATGTATATATATTTTGATAGCTTAAAATGTATGTGCGGAGCTGTATTAAAATCTTGGTCTGGAAGTAATGGTTAGTTCTTCACTCATCTCTGCCTGCCTTGGGCATAGTGTTAGTGGTAATGAATGGGGGGATAATCATAAAGTATTTTTATGGTGCCAATTCATTCGATGCTTGTTTTCTTTTGGATTCGGGTGTTTCCCTATTTTCTTTCTTTTTCAGATAATGAGAGATTCAGAGACGGGGAACTCCCGTGGATTTGGTTTCATTAGCTTTGATTCTTTTGATGCATCTGATGCTACAATAGAGGTGTTTTTCTTTTGCTTTTAGTTTCATATGATAGTGGTATTAAGTTCTCATGAGTGAGATCTGAGGTTCAAAATTAAAAAATTTAAAGACAAACAAATGGTTTTTTAATTTGGATTTCTTTTTGAATTTGATATTAGTTAAGCAATCTACGTGGTGTGTACCTCACAAAGATAAATTATATATCTGTCAGGGTTCTAATTGGCTCTCATGTTGTTTATACTGAATCAAGGGTTATGAGTTTTCTTTATTTTTTTATTGGATTTTGTATTTGGGTTGTCAGGAAACTAG